GTCGTCGTCTTCATCAGCTTCGCCATCACCACCGGTAGTATACATGTAGGTAGCGGGTCGCTTGGAATCGCCATCGGAGTCTCCAGTGTGTGCCGTGGGGAGAGAAGGGTGATCCACGCTAGCACCCTGACTGTGCTGCAAGCTAATAAGCAGGGCCAAGCCCAGGAAGGCAAGAAACATGATTCTCATCTTGATTCGTCGCAGGGAGCTGCAGCGGTTTGAGCCATGGGGGTCTGGGGTCGAATCACGTTGTTTTATTTAAAACTGCACCGCTGCCACCAATGTAATGGGTAGCCGAGTGGTAGGCGCGGTGAAATCAACAAGAATTAGTTTTATTCTACTTCTTTCAGGTACACACCTGAGATATAATTATTAGTGAAAGAAGAAGCGGCAAAATAAATAACTTTCTCTCCGGTGCTCACCTAGAGGTTGACTACTTCTTCTTCGAGTTAGCTTTCGTTGCTATCTAATCTAATCTTCATCAAAACAGAAATGCGCAGCCGCTTTTATGCAGCAGACGCCGTACGCTTACATACGGAGATACACTAAATATACATCAGGCAAAGATCCGTATTAGTTCCGTACTGCTTCCGTATTGGTCGGGCAGGGACACTACACATGCACATGTACTTGTACACTACAAGTAGTACAGTGCACTAGTGATGTACATGTATCAGTACTTCAGTATATCACTCCCCCTCTAAGCTATACACTTCACCAATGCATCACATGCAGTGCGAGGATTCATTTGATACCAATATCACCATATAGGGAGATCACCTGCTTTGAAAGACCAGCTGTTTATACGACCACTTTGGGCTGGAACCATGCATGGTCGCTAAAACCAGGTTTCACCTGTATTAAGAAAAATCGCAAAGTGTCTATGTGCCACGCAAAACTACAATCAGGCTCTTCTGTCGTCTACCTTCTTGATTGACTAACCATTTCGTTCGGACAATTAACACAACAATCGAGGACGTCTTTGCAGTGTAAAACACAGCTATACTGGAGCTGAAAGAAAGAATAAAAAACATGGTCATAGTCAGACTCGAGTACACGCGTACCCTCCTGGCAGGATCAGCGGATGTCGCTCATAAATGCGCAGCTTTGGGTGACGTGTTATACACCGTCGATGCATTGCAGCTGATCGTCTACACTAATGAACAGAAATTGGTGTTTCTGGCCACACAACTCGTGCGTACATAATGAGTGTTACCGATCCCAAGACTGTCGAAGTTTTGGCATGGCCCTGGGCTTGAAATTTGTTTATGACAACACAAGTTTATGAATATCAATTGCCAGAGTAGCCAAACCAAGCTGCAATGTACCGTAGCATGCTAGCACGGTAGTGTTCATCTGTGGGACTGGGGTATGCGATTGCCCTTCGACAGGGAACATTAGTCTTCGTTTCTCCTTCGAGCTTTGATATCGAGCGGAGAGTGATTTCAATCCGCTCTCAAAGACGTTACCTGTCGTGTATGTTCTTGAAAGCACTTGGAGCCATGATAACAGGTGAAATGCAGTGCACAGACCAATAAACGTCCTTCCATTTGTTCAATCGCACTATCGAAGGAGTCAGATCGAGACCATGGCAAATTTAAAAGGAAGGAGATTTCAAGAAAATACTTTGATTTCATTCACCACTGTCACTAGTTACTGCACAAAAATCGACCTTGAAAGAAGAAAACGGCAATCGCTGGTCATGGCATCCATGCGTCACAAAGTGGTGAGTAGTACCACGCTGGCCGCTAGCCACTGTGGTCTTTAGTAACAGGTTTTACACTATAGAAGCACAATAATATACTGTATAGCAGGACATTTTCGGACGGAAATATTTTCGGACAAAGCCGAATTTCGACCTTTCATACGGATTATATTTTTGTACAGTGGTGCATGCTAAATGCACGTGTTGGCTTGCGGTACGCATGTATAGTGTACATAACTTCACAGGAACAAATTTTAGTGCGGAATTAATTTTAGTACAAAAGGAGGCCGTGAACGAAATCGTCCGAAAATTAATTCCGTCCGAAAATTTCCTGCTATACAGTACACAGAAGCAGTAGATTGTTTTACTACCACCACATTTGCACTTAAAGCTGTAAGCATCCCGGTAACATGGAACAAAATAGAATCCTACGGTCAACTACTGAGATGGACAATTCTTCATTTTCAAATACTTTTGTTACTAAGTTTATTTTATTTATTTAATTTATTTCTGCACCTCGTGGCATGTCAAGACAGCCAATTGAATCGAGGAGAGGGTGAGACCAACCACGGAAGAAGAGAAAAAAAGAAAATGAAGAGCACGTACACAAAGTGGGAAGGGATAAGCAACTTAAAAAGCAATGGGATGCTCAGCGAGCTATGCAGCGGAAGTGGTGACTGTGACTTTGTTTACTGGGAGATACTGAAGTGCTGTCTGACGAGGGTACGGAATTTGGGCATATCTGGAGCTTGTCTAACACTGGGAGGCAGTTGGAGCCACGTGGAGTAGGAGGAAAAGAAAGGGGAATTTACGAATAGGGTAGACCTAGCTAGGGGGAGACGAACGCAGCTTCGGGTGGTTAGGACACACATTTTTATTTCGATGTTTCTTGTCCCCTAAAAATCTAAAAACGTATGCAAGAGGTGGAAAAAATGACCGTGAAATTTTTTTATTAGATATATGTACAAAAGAGAAAGACCAAGGAACTACAAGTTACGGTATACACTATACTGTTACTTCCTCCGCAAACAAAAAGTTCGTGATGGATTTTGATGGATACGAAAACGCTCAGAACAGGTCAACAACAGTTTGTATCGACTGCAAATCACTGGACGAAGGTGATTCAGCCTATGCACAGCGTCTTTACAAGAGAAACTGTTCGCGGAATGAGCAGAGAGTTCAGTTTGCGTCGCTTTCGCTCGATCCATTTTTGACCTGCGTGGCTGTTGTCATCTGCTGCACGCGAGTCGTCATGTGCTGTACCCGAGTTGTCATCTCTCTCGAGTCATGGTTCAGCTCGTTTCAGCCTTGCCTCGACTTCTTTGATCACACTCTGCTGACCTTGATGTCGCCGTCGTTCAAGTAAGTTGGCTTTCAAGCTGCGTGATCCGCCGCGATGGCGATTATTCGTTTCCACCAGGGAGTCGTGAAATTTTTTTACGACTCCCTGGTTTCATCTTCACTCTCCAGAACTCTGCGAAACGAGAAGTAAACTTTCCCCAGCCAAACTGATTCCATTTTCTCTAATGGATACCAGCACTGAATGGCAGCGGCCAGCAAGTCCAGTCGACTTTCTTTAGCCACGAGACTCGCATCGGATTGCAGACTTCTGAAAGAATGCATGGTCATCAGCATTCGAATCAGGGCTTTGTGCAGGTTGAGCAAGAACGTGAGTTCAGAATTATATTCACTGAGCCGTGCGCCAAGCAACGCAATATCCCCTCGGAGAAGTGGTATTTCAGTTTCGCTCGCCATGACTGTCATCACCTATGTTTCCACAGCGCAGCCATCGACTCTGCACGGCTTGTTGTGAAAGGTCGCTTTCCTTGCATCGTACCTCTGTCATGGCATGCCAGGGAAGGCCAAGAAAGTGATTGCCACTCATTTCACGGCAGTTTGCGCCCAAATCAGCCCCTCAAAATTCCATCACGAAGTTTTTGTTAACGGAGGAAGTAGTTCCTTGGTCTTTCTCTTTTGTATAAATTGAACCTTGGCTCTCCATCTGAGTCTATTAGACCTTTGTTCACACCCAAATCCACCAATACACCATTCAAAATACCATCCACAGCTAGTAACTAGTATGTGGTAGGAGCTTCTGTCACAATCTGTGCATGTGCAGCTAGATTGCGCACAAAATGCCGACCTCGCATCATGTGTCGCGCAGGCCAGGCCACATGTAATGTACATGTGCTTGAGTGTGCTGGTCTCCACATGCACAGTCAGTGCAGCACAGTTTTTTTTTCTTTTTTTCTTCCAGACTCCTGAATCGTATGCGCGCGGGTGACGAGAAACATAGAAATAAAAATGTATGGCCTTAGCAGTTAAACGAAAGAGCTTGGAAGCTCAGGGCCCTACGCTATGCTTTTTTTGCCTTGATGACCTAGACAAAAAAAGCATAGGGGTGTTATAAATTCTTAAAAAATTCCTTTTTTTTTAAGACATACCCTGGGATTCGAACCCGCACTATCGCGCGTCCTGCATGCATCCTCCGATACACTTCGCATACATACTAATTCTTCCAAGTTGCTTCACGTTATGATCTTGCATTTGAAAGCCCTATTTGAATATGCATTGTGGCAGCCGTCTTTGATGGTACGGTACGGTACGGGATAGGTACGGCACAGGTACGATCGAGGGTAATACGACACCGTCTACCGCCTTGATGACGGCAAAAAAAGCATAAGGATGTTATAAATTTTTCAATTCTCCTATTTTTTTTTAAGGCATATCCTGGGATTCGATCCCGCACTATCGCCCTACATGCATTCCCCCATACACTTCGCATTCATACCCATTCTTCCAAGTTGCTTCACGTCATGGCCTTGCGTTTGAAAGCCCTATTTGAATATTGCGGCCAGCTGTATGTGGCCAGCTAGCTGTGTTTGATGGTACGGTACGGTACGGGACAGATATGGGATAGCGCCAGGCGTGACACAAACACACAAACAAACAAACACACAAATACCAAATTAAAGCTGTGTGGACCCTGGCTAGCGCCAGACGTTACTGAAGTAACGTCTTCTGCATAGCTACGGGAATAAAATCAGTTTGTGTTCTGCAACAAATATGCGTCGTATATTTATTCTCAGCTATTTTCGGCCAGGTCTTGTGTGGCTGAAAATTGGTGGCAGTAGTTTTTGTTTTTGTTTTGCAAGGTTCAATGCGACAGTGTATAATGGCGGCAGCAGTACATATCGAAAATTAGATACGGCCAAAATGGGTTTTACCCTTGGGCTAAAACCCATAAGCCCTGGGCAGAAAATGTGTAGACTTGAAGTTCTTGGCCAACACTTACCAGGAACAGCGAGTGGTTGGCAGAATGTACCATTCCCGGAGTGGCCCGGTAGGCAAATACAAGAATAGCACTGTTGAGTTCCGTTCAAAGCCCTAGATCCATTCAGAGATGAACACGTACTGTTGCCGCTGCATTGATGCAGCCCTGCACTGCATGCATCCACTGCAAGACTGCAGCCGTGGCCGGTCCACTTGTAGAACGCCGGACATTGACACAGGTATGAACCCTGCGTATCTGCGCACGAAGCGCAAACAGCACACTCGCTTTCCTCCGCCGGGGAATTGCAGCTGCCGCACGGACTGCCATTGCATTCATTCACATTGCTGCAAGCGAGTCCATTCCATACATACCCTTGTTCGCATTCGCAAGAGTAGGAACCAACCGTGTCAGTACACGTCGCTTCACCTGAGCAAGTGTGCACTGCCTCTATGCATTCATTGACATTGTAACATTCCCCAGTGACTCTCAAGGCAAACCCGCCACTGCAACTACAGTTAAAACCACCGGGTGTGTTTGTACACGTGGGTGATGATGCGGTGCAGTTATGGCCACCTGAGGTGCACTCGTCCAAATCAGAACAGCCGTTGGAATCGCCAGTAAACCCGGCAGCACAGCGACAAAAATAGCTGCCATCCGTATTGCTACAGTTTGCGTTGCCCGCACACGTACCTGCACGATCACATTCATTAATGTCATGGCAACTGTGCCCATTACCACTAAATCCAGCATTGCACATGCAGCTATAGGACACGTCAGAACGTGTGCAAGAAGCATTGCGGTGGCAGCGTGGTGCATTACATTGGTTGACAACGGTACAGGGCACACCTTTCCCCGTGAAACCAGTCTGGCAAGCACATTCGAAAGACCCATTTGTGTTACGGCAGGTTGCATTGGCATGACAACTGTGTCCTCCAGTGCGGCATTCATCAATGTCAGAGCAGTGAGTACCATTTCCTGTAAAACCATCCTGGCAAGCGCATTCTAATGAACCATTTTTGTTGTTGCAGATTGCATTTGTATGGCAACTGTGTCCTCTTCTCCGGCACTCCTTAATGTCCGAGAAATGGGTATCATTTCCTGTAATGCCATCCTGTAAAACGCATTCAAATGAGCCTTTCGTGTTTTTGCAGGTTGCATTGGCATGACAACTGTGTCCTCCAGTGCGGCATTCATCAATATCAGAGCAGTGAGTACCATTTCCTGTAAAACCGTTCTGGCAAGCGCACTCAAATGACCCTTTTGTGTTTTTGCAGGTTGAATTGGCATGACAACTGTGTCCTCCTGTTATGCATTCATCAATGCCAGAGCAGTGAGTACCATTTCCTGTAAAACCATTCTTGCAAGCGCATTCAAATGAACCGTTTGTGTTTTTGCAGGTTGCATTGGCATGACAACTGTGTCTTCCTGTTATGCATTCCCCAATGTCAGAGCAGTGAGTACCATTTCCTGTAAAACCATTAAGGCAAGCGCATTCAAATGAGCCTTTTTTGTTCTTGCAGGTTTCATTGGCATGACAACTGTGTCCTCCACTGCGACATTCATCAATGTCAGAGCAGTGAGTACCATTTCCTGTAAAACCATTCTGGCAAGCGCATTCAAATGAACCTTTCGTGTTATTGCAGGTTGCATTGGCATGGCAACTGTGTCCCCCAGTGTTGCATTCATCAATGTCAGAGCAGTGAGTACCATTTCCTGTAAAACCATTCTGGCAAGCGCATTCAAATGAACCTTTCGTGTTATTGCAGGTTGCATTGGCATGACAACTATGTCCTCCAGTGCGGCATTGATCAATGTCAGAACAGTGAGTACCATTTCCTGCAAAACCATTCTGGCAAGCGCATTCTAATGAACCTTTTGTGTTTTTGCAGGTTGCATTGGCATGACAACTATGTCCTCCAGTGCGGCATTCATAAATGTCAGAGCAGTGAGTACCATTTCCTTTAAAACCAATCTGGCAAACGCATTCATATGAACTTTTCGTGTGATTGCAGGTTGCATTGGCATGACAACTGTGTCCTCCAGTGCGACATTCATCAATGTCAGAGCAGTGAGTACCATTTCCTGTAAAACCATTCTGGCAAGCGCATTCAAATGAACCTTTTGTGTTGTTGCAGGTTGCATTGGCATGACAACTGTGTCCTCCAGTGCGACATTCATCAATGTCAGAGCAGTGAGTACCATTTCCTGTAAAACCATTCTGGCAAGCGCATTCTAATGAACCTTTTGTGTTTTTGCAGGTTGCATTGGCATGACAACTGTGTCCTCCAGTGCGACATTCATCAATGTCAGAGCAGTGAGTACCATTTCCTGTAAAACCATTCTGGCAAGTGCATTCAAATGAACCTTTCGTGTTATTGCAGGTTGCATTGGCATGACAACTGTGTCCTCCAGTGCGACATTCATCAATGTCAGAGCAGTGAGTACCATTTCCTGTAAAACCATTCTGGCAAGCGCATTTAAATGAACCTTTTGTGTTGTTGCAGGTTGCATGGGCTTGACAACTGTGTCCTCGAGTGCGACATTCATGAATGTCAGAGCAGTGAGTACCATTTCCTGTAAAACCATTCTGGCAAGTGCATTCAAATGAACCTTTTGTGTTATTGCAGGTTGCATTGGCATGACAACTGTGTGCTCCAGTGCGACATTCATCAATGTCAGAGCAGTGAGTACCATTTCCTGTAAAACCATTCTGGCAAGCGCATTCTAATGAACCTTTTGTGTTTTTGCAGGTTGCGTTGGCATGGCAACTGTGTACTCCAGTTTTGCATTCAGAAATGTAAGAGCAGTGAGTATCATTTCCTGTAAAACCATTCTGGCAAGTGCATTCAAATGAACCTTTTGTGTTGTTGCAGGTTGCATTGGCATGACAACTGTGTCCTCCAGTGCGACATTCATCAATGTCAGAGCAGTGAGTACCATTTCCTGTAAAACCATTCTGGCAAGCGCATTCTAATGAACCTTTTGTGTTTTTGCAGGTTGCGTTGGCATGGCAACTGTGTACTCCAGTTTGGCATTCAGAAATGTCAGAGCAGTTAGTATCATTTCCTGTAAAACCATTCTGGCAAGCGCATTCAAATGAACCTTTCGTGTTTTTGCAGGTAGCATTGGCATGACAACTGTGTCCTCCAGTGCGGCATTCATCAATGTCAGAGCAGTGAGTACCATTTCCTGTAAAACCATTCTTGCAAGCGCATTCAAATGAACCTTTCGTGTTATTGCAGGTTGCTTTGGCATGACAACTGTGTCCTCCAGTGCGGCATTCATCAATGTCAGAGCAGCGAGTACCATTTCCTGTAAAACCATTCTGGCAAGCGCATTCAAATGAACCTTTTGTGTTTTTGCAGGTTGCATTGGCATGACAACTGTGTCCTCCAGTACGGCATTCATCAATGTCAGAGCAATGAGTACCATTTCCTGTAAAACCATTCTGGCAAGTGCATTCAAATGAACCTTTTGTGTTATTGCAGGTTGCATTGGCATGACAACTGTGTCCTCCAGTGCGACATTCATCAATGTCAGAGCAGTGAGTACCATTTCCTGTAAAACCATTCTGGCAAGCGCATTCAAATGAACCTTTTGTGTTTTTGCAGGTTGCATTGGCATGACAACTGTGTCCTCCAATGCGGCATTCATCGATGTCAGAGCAGTGAGTACCATTTCCTGTAAAACCATTCTGGCAAGCGCATTCAAATGAACCTTTCCTGTTATTGCAGGTTGCTTTGGCATGACAACTGTGTCCTCCAATGCGGCATTCATCAATGTCAGAGCAATGAGTACCATTTCCTGTTAAACCATTATGGCAAGCGCATTCTAATGAACCTTTTGTGTTTTTGCAGGTTGCATTGGCATGACAACTGTGTCCTCCAGTGTGGCATTCATCAATGTCAGAGCAGTGAGTACCATTTCCTGTAAAACCATTCTGGCAAGCGCATTCAAATGAACCTTTCCTGTTATTGCAGGTTGCATTGGCATGACAACTGTGTCCTCCAGTGCGACATTCATCAATGTCAGAGCAGTGAGTACCATTTCCTGTAAAACCATTCTGGCAAGCGCATTCTAATGAACCTTTTGTGTTTTTGCAGGTTGCATTGGCATGGCAACTGTGTCCTCCAGTGTTGCATTCATCAATGTCAGAGCAGTGAGTACCATTTCCTGTAAAACCATTCTGGCAAGCGCATTCAAATGAACCTTTCCTGTTATTGCAGGTTGCATTGGCATGACAACTGTGTCCTCCAGTGCGACATTCATCAATGTCAGAGCAGTGAGTACCATTTCCTGTAAAACCATTCTGGCAAGCGCATTCTAATGAACCTTTCGTGTTATTGCAGGTTGCATTGGAATGACAACTGTGTCCTCCAGTGTGGCATTCATCAATGTCAGAGCAGTGAGAACCATTTCCTGTAAAACCATTCTGGCAAGCGCATTCAAATGAACCTTTCGTGTTATTGCAGGTTGCATTGGCATGACAACTGTGTCCTCCAGTGTTGCATTCATCAATGTCAGAGCAGTGAGTACCATTTCCTATAAAACCATTCTGGCAAGCGCATTTAAATGAACCTTTCGTGTTATTGCAGGTTGCATTGGCGTGACAACTGTGTCCTCCAGTGTGGCATTCATCAATGTCAGAGCAGTGAGTACCATTTCCTGTAAAACCATTCCGGCAAGCGCATTCTAATGAACCTTTTGTGTTTTTGCAGGTTGCGTTGGCATGGCAACTGTGTCCTCCAGTGTGGCATTCATCAATGTCAGAGCAGTGAGCACCATTTCCTGTAAAACCATTCCGGCAAGCGCATTCTAATGAACCTTTTGTGTTTTTGCAGGTTGCATTGGCATGGCAACTGTGTGCTCCAGTGTGGCATTCATCAATGTCAGAGCAGTGAGTACCATTTCCTGTAAAACCATTCTGGCAAGCGCATTCAAATGAACCTTTCGTGTTATTGCAGGTTGCATTGCCATGACAACTTGATCCTCCAGTGCGGCATTCATCAATGTCAGAGCAGTGAGTACCATTTCCTGTAAAACCATTCTGGCAAGCGCATTCAAATGAACCTTTCGTGTTATTGCAGGTTGCATTGGCATGACAACTGTGTCCTCCAGTGCGGCATTCATCAATGTCAGAGCAGTGAGTACCATTTCCTGTAAAACCATTCTGGCAAGCGCATTGAAATGAACCTTTTGTGTTATTGCAGATTGCATTGGGATGACAACTGTGTCCTCCAGTGCGGCATTCATCAATGTCACAGCACTGAGTACCATTTCTTTTAAAACCATTCTGGCAAGCGCATACAAATGAACCTTTCGTGTTATTGCAGGTTGCTTTGGCATGACAACTGTGTCCTCCAGTGCGGCATTCATCAATGTCAGAGCAGTGAGTACCATCTCCTGTAAAACCATTCTGGCAAGCGCATTCAAATGAACCTTTTGTGTTTTTGCAGGTTGCATTGGCATGGCAACTGTGTCCTCCAGTGTGGCATTCATCAATGTCAGAGCAGTGAGTACCATTTCCTGTAAAACCATTCTGGCAAGCGCATTCAAATGAACCTTTTGTGTTTTTGCAGGTTGCATTGGCATGGCAACTGTGTCCTCCAGTGCGACATTCATCAATGTCAGAGCAGTGAGTACCAATTCCTGTAAAACCATTCTGGCAAGCGCATTCAAATGAACCTTTCGTGTTATTGCAGGTTGCATTGGCGTGACAACTGTGTCCTCCAGTGTGGCATTCATCAATGTCAGAGCAGTGAGCACCATTTCCTGTAAAACCATTCCGGCAAGCGCATTCTAATGAACCTTTTGTGTTTTTGCAGGTTGCATTGGCATGGCAACTGTGCGCTCCAGTGTGGCATTCATCAATGTCAGAGCAGTGAGTACCATTTCCTGTGAAACCATTCTGGCAAACGCATTCAAATGAACCTTTCGTGTTATTGCAGGTTGCATTGCTATGGCAACTTGATCCTCCAGTGCGGCATTCATCAATGTCAGAGCAGTGAGTACCATTTCCTGTAAAACCATTCTGGCAAGCGCATTCAAATGAACCTTTCGTGTTACTGCAGGTTGCATTGGCATGACAACTGTGTCTACCAGTGCGGCATTCATCAATGTCGGAGCAGTGAGTACCATTTCCTGTAAAACCATTCTGGCAAGCACATTCAAATGAACCTTTTGTGTTTTTGCAGGTTGCATTGGCATGACAACTGCGTCCTCCAGTGTGGCATTCATCAATGTCAGAGCAGTGAGTAGCATTTCCTGTAAAACCATTCTGGCAAGCGCATTCAAATGAACCTTTTGTGTTATTGCAGGTTGCATTGGCATGGCAACTGTGTCCTCCAGTGCGGCATTCATCAATGTCAGAGCAGTGAGTACCATTTCCTGTAAAACCATTCTGGCAAGCGCATTCTAATGAACCTTTTGTGTTTTTGCAGGTTGCATTGGCATGACAACTGTGTCCTCCAGTGTGGCATTCATCAATGTCAGAGCAGTGAGTACCATTTCCTGTAAAACCATTCTGGCAAGCGCATTCAAATGAACCTTTCGTGTTATTGCAGGTTGCATTGGCATGACAACTGTGTACTCCCGTAACGCACTCATTGGTGTCAGTGCAGTGGTTCCCGTTTCCGCTGTATCCTATTAGGCAGGTGCAAGTGTGCGCTGTTCCACTTCCCTTGTCAGAGCAGCTGGCCATCGGAGAACATGGGTGACTTGCGCAGGGTCTGGGCATCTCGCAAGTGGTGTTGTTAATATTAATGAACCCTTGATTGCAGGCACAACTTACAGCAGAATCTCCGTACACACACTCTGCATTTGCCGGGCACTTCATTTTCGAGCATTTGATTTTACATTTCCCATTTCGTTTTTCGAAGGAGGCGGTTTGGCACAAACAAAATGTAAAACCTCCAGAATCACCGGTAGCCCCAATGCAGAATAAGTCTTCATACTTGGTACTTTTGGTCCAGGGCAGTTGTGTTGTGCATACGTACAGTGGCAATAGTAGGCAAGAAACAAGAAATGCCCAGTGGTGCACTAGTACATGGTTACCACCTCTGGAATCCATACCGGTAGTTGGAATCTCCCTGTGTGTGTGCGAGAGGGAAAGAGAGAATAAGAAAGTCTGGAAAAGAGAAAGGTGCCAGGCTCACCGCCTCGGGTTTAGCAAAAACGAGAGAGCTTTAAAGCTCAGGGCCCTCGCTTTGCTTTTTGGCCTAGGTCATCATGCATGTTGTTCAAACTGATGGAAACCTTTTTGCAACACAATGATAAAAAACAAAAATCCACCCGCCCCTCCATTTTTCTCTGAACAATAGGACGATCATGGAGGATATGTATTGCCTAACATGGAATTTGAACCTGCACTATCGCCATCCATGCATTTCCCCTGACACACTTTGCATGCATACACATTCCTCCAAGTTGCTTCACGTTATGATCTGGCAGCTCACAGCCATAATTGAAGAAGGTGGCCTTACCCTCTCCCTTTTTTCCGGAATAAAAGGACGATCATAAAGTATATTCTTTGGCTTGGCCTAACATGGGATTCAAACCCGCACTATCGCCATGCATGCAGCCCCCCCCCCCCCCCCCAAACACTTCGCATACATACACATGCTTCCAAGTTGCCTGACTTTATGCACGTTACGCAGTTGAAAGACCTATTTGAATAAGGTGTCCAGCTGCCCTTTACAATGATAAAAATAGAAATCTGCCTGCCCTCCCTCTTTTTCTGAAAAAAGGGAATATCATGAAAAATATTCTTTGGCTTGGCCTAAAATGAGATTCGCACGCGCACTATCGTCCTGTATGCATTCCCCGGATTCACTTCACATGCATACACATTCTTCCAAGTTCCTTTTTTATGCTCTTGCAGTTGAGAGCCCTATTTGAATAAGGTGGACCGCTGTCTTTTACAATGATATAAATAGAAATCCTTCTGTCCTCCCCATTTTTTCCTGAAAAAAGGACGGTCATGAAGTAAAATATGTAACGATTACGTTTGTTTCCTTAGTGACGTAGCTGGTAACATAACGATCAGGTTATCGGCTAAACGATTACTATTGTATACCTGTTGTCATGATACCTTTGGGCTTTGATGCCTGTGATGGTAGTAGTAATAGTAGTAGTAGTATTAGTAGTATTACATGCGCCTTTCTCCCTTCCTCTCTCTAGGCCTTGACAGATTATGCTAATATTTTCGTGAAATTATGCTTTTCGCATTGCTGAAAAATTGCAGAATTATGCTATTTTAATGCTAAAAGTTATCATAATATGCCGCATTATGCTCACATATGCTGCTAATGTATAATGGTTCTGTGCAAAATAACAGGGGAATTTTTTTGTAGAGGGCGTTGTATATGTAGGACTCAGTGACCAGTCAAGGCCCCGTTACCAATCACGGTCCCCGTGACCAGTCAAACAGTCACAAACCCCCCATGACCAGTCACAAATTAGTTTACCAGTCACAATGCCCCATGACCAGTCACAAATCACCATACATGTACATGTGTAAAGTACACAGTTCGTGACTGCTCGCAGGGTGCTTCGTACTGCAGGATTTGTTGTGGAAACTATAATTCCCTATGACCGGCCACAGAATACAGTTGTGACCCCTATAATTCCATGCGAACAGTTACAAGCGGAATGTACAGTTGTGACCACTCTTTCTCTGTGAGTAGTCACAGGCAGAATATAGGTACTTCTGTATTACAAGAGAGATTGGAGGCTTTGTCACAACTCTGAGTTTCACGTATTACTACGATCGTCAGGCAACTGATGGCTCCTAAACGGGCAGCCTGAACATAAGGGGGAGCAAGGTGGGAAATTCTGAGGGGTATCATAGGCGACGGGTATTATAGTGCAAGAGTCAGGTGCAGGCGTGAAGTTGCCAAGTCTTCAGACTTGGGGCTATGCAGCAGCAGTTCCAGCGTGAATGACATAGAATAGAGCTGGGGACCACACATGCCCACACCATTACACACACATACACCCACACTCTCTCCCTTTTCTCACATACACTGACACACACACACACATACACACACACACTCATTCTCTAAATCTCTCTCTCTCTCAGACACACATGCACATATGTGATTCATTCTCTACATCGCACACACACACACCTGGCCTGGTGTACAGCTGCCAAATGCTTAGCCACGCCGCCCTCGAGACAGGGGAGAGTAGAAGAGAGAGTTTGAGACACACACACATCCACACACACACACACACACACACACACACACACACACACACCCGCACACACACACACACCCACACACACACACACACACACACACACACACACACACACACACACACACACACACACACACACACACACACACCTGGCCTGGTGTACAGCTGCCAAATGCTTGGCCACGCCGCCCCCGAGACAGGGGGAGAGTAGAAGAGAGAGTTTGAGACACACACACACACACATATCCACACACACACACATCCACACACACACACACACACACACACACACACACACACACACACACACACACACACACACACATCCACACACACACACACACATTCTCTAAATCTCACACACACACACATACACATTCTCTCTCTCACACACACACACTCTCTTTCTCACGCATGCACACACACACACACACTCACACATGCGTGCGCACACTTACTCACACACACACACACACACACACACACACAAATAGGCAGCGGGACTACCAGCTAGATTCACGTGACCTTGCGGACAAAGTTACGGAGGTAGAACTTGTTTCCATGACGACACTTGGACACAAGTACTTCTGTATTATTATTTTATCTCTTTTCAACCAATCCACAAGCCAAGAAGAGATGCGTAGACGGAAGAACCGTTCTCTTGGTGATACTGATCGCAAACATGATTAATTCCTCCAGGCCATTGAGCACCCAATTCTAAACCTTATCTAAGCAAAGCAGCATGCCAGTTCAAGAACATCTCGTCAGACATACATATCGATACATGCCTGGTGCACTCTCACTAACAAGCAGGCATCGAAGGCTACATTCGCACCAGCAATCAAAAGAAGTTGAAGTGAGTGAATATTTCCATAAAAATAATAATTGGAAGACAAATGAAGGTGTGGAGGATCGCCCAAAAACACTGACAAGGAGACAGTAAACGGTACACAGTACTCGTATGCATGACTTATACACGTTATAGCAGCACAACGAGAAAGACCATGATGCATAATGTTGCATCAATAAATTTTACAGAGTTATTTTGGGAGTAGAAATGAAAATGTGTTCGAAGCAGTAAACTGCGTAAGCACTACGTTGAGCCAGAATATTGAAATACAGTTTCCTGCAGTCAAAACAAGACACTCACACTTCTCTGGTCTAGTTCACCATTCTTATCGATAAACATGACTTGATTTAATTTCTTACGATGGTTCTTGAGAATGGATCAATGATGTCTTGAATAGATGTCTTCCTGAACGACTTCAACTGAGAGGCAGTTTCAGTTTCAACAAGCTGGACATTGTTTTTCTGTGGAGTCTTCCACAAGAAAGACAGAGCTACACACACGATGGTGCTTGATGTACTCAGTACCCTCTTGGAAATGAACATATTTTCATTTCCATCTTCATTATATTTTCGTCTCTGCATCGTCGACGATGTCCACTTCTGACTCCGTAATCTTGTCACCCATCCTCTCCAAAAACACAAATCGAGTGCTGCTTGCATGCTGGATCAGTTGAAGTCAGTCTCTGCTCTAGCAAGATCGGCATGCAAAAATTACATGACTGAAAATATTCCGAAATAGCTTTTCTGAACGACGAAGTTTGTTCTTCAAATATGATGAATAGCACAACCTACTAGCCAGAACGTCCTCTCAAAAGAGATTCTATCTGAAGCCTGCAAGATTTTCGACCACCCTTCGTTTTGGAGAGGAGCCCACACACACCAGACTCGAGCTACAAGTAAACTATGCGGAGATCGAGAGTTGATCGAAATCTTTCTTGCTCACTTCTGAAACCTGTGAAGGAAAAAAGTATGCTGAACGCGTGATTGCCTACAGTTGAGTCGTAATATTTTGACGTGGATCCTGTGACCGTTCACAGAGAAAGTCGCGGCTGTTTCTGACTGGTCATTGGGATTCAAACTGGTGTGTGACTTTATGACTGCTGTTTGGGGATTTGTGACTGTTTGATTGGTCACGGGGCTCGTGATCGGTCATCGAGACGTGACTGCTCACTGAGTCCTAATAATAATAATAATAAACACAGCTCGCATCTTCCCTGAACCTGTTAGACAGGAGCAGAGTCGACGCATCTGTCAACAGTGTCAAGCCAAGTTAGTCTATCTCCTGCAGCTTGGAGAGCGCTCTCCACGGAGAGATCCGCTGCCTTCAGGTCGTGCCAAATCGTATCTATCCACTGCAATGGCGGACGGCACGGTTTTTTTATGTCGTTTGTGTTGATTGATAGCTCCAGTGCTTGGAACGAGGCGGATTCCGGACCCTCTCGCACCACATGGCCAAACCACAGCAGTCTGCGTCGCCGACATGTGGCACTAACTGGAGATTGTTTTGTTTCTGTGTATAAGTTGTTATTGGTGATGCGTTGCGGGTAGACAATCTGTAGCAGTACGCGTAGCTTCCTCCGTTGCCATTTGTCCAGTTTGTCGTTCAGCAATTTGGACAGAGTCCACAATCCGCAATTGTATAGAAGGATCGGCATTATGAGGCAGTTAAACATACACAGTCGGGATTGAAAGGAATGCCGTCTCCAAGAAATCGAAACAAACGCCCTGTTTGCTTTTGAGATTCTCATGTCCACGTCTTCTGCAGAGCCCAATAGAGAACCCAGGAGTTTGATTGATCTCCATTCGTTGCTGTTTCTTGTAACATCAACATATTCAGTTTTCTGTGTATTGAGCTTGAGGTAGTCTTCGTTAAATATAGGTTCACACTCAGCAACAAGAGCCTTCGCCTCATCGTCATTTCGGTTATGCAGAGTAGTATCGTCAGCGTACTGTGTTGTTGGAGCAGGCATTGGTGAGCGAATTGTGCATCTTTCCCTGATCTTGCGCATTGTGCCTTCTGCATATGTTATGAACA